AAAAGGCGGGAAGGGATATCGTTAGGATAGACAGACTAGGGAAGACATTTTTGAGCCACCTTTGGCAAAGTAGAAAGGAACGATTGGCCATCGGTGATCGGTCCTGTGGGAACAATGCTCCGTCCTCTCGAGGACGCGTGGTCAATGGTCTAATCGCTAAGGCATGCAAAACACAAGAGTACGCCCCCGCCCCCCCCCCAACGCTGCACCATTGCACCAACCCCTCACTAGTGATGACGTGCCATTACAATGTATCGCTGGTTGATGGCCATGTTTGCGTGTTTGCTTGTCGTTAGTGGTCTCTCCACCGTGTGCCTTTTTCCGTCTCTTATTTCTTGTTATTTTCGGCCTGGTCCCTTTTTGTCCTCGCTCTTTTTATTTCATTTTCTCTTTCCTTACTGTTTCCTTTTTTTTCTTCTCTTTTTTACTGTGCCAGATGGCCTTGTTTCTGCTTGCGTTGTGAAGTACCAAGATTGAACCAAGGGGGTGTACCTCATTCTCTCCGACCCGTGATGGTGAATCCTAGTCTCAGTTGTTACCTCGCATAGCGCGCAGAGGGAGTGGAGGACTATCTGTCGTTGATTTCTATTGACTTGCGGACCCGTCGGGGCCATTTCATTTGAGTGTACCTTTTTAGGGTAAGTTAGCCTGCGACCACGGGAATCGACCGCGTCGAGTGGTATATCAGTACGGACATACGAAGGTACTGGGTAGAGAGAGATCGGAACGGTTTTTAATGTGAAGACGACAACAACAACAACAATCACAGAAGGATTACCCGCTCTAGACAATACCTCAGGGCAGTCGAAGGGGATGATGTGTTGGAATGGAAGTCTTGGCAGGAGTGGGAAACAAACCAGCTGGATATTGGGATTGCTTTTGACGGGTGTTCTCGGCCGTGCGGTTCGTGCCAACTCTGTGTTCCGCGTGTCAACTCTCGAAATCGAGCCAGAAAAGCGTGCGGGGCAGGGGCGTGACAAAAAAGTTGGGCGTAAAACGACACAACCATGGTACCATGGCGAACAAGCGACTAAGCCGGGTACACACTCCTTTTTTCGAGCGTTAGAGCCTAGCTGATTGATCCACGACGTCTGCTTTCGCTTTCGCGCTGCCTTGCCATAGGAAGCACGAGGAATACCTTGCCAAGACTACATCCGTGCATTTTATTGCACCCTGGTTTTCTGAAAAGCGTACAACGTGCCCGACGGGAATGGGACCCCAATTCATCGGCCTTTTTCTTGCAAGAATGACTGCCTGCTCCAACCAAAGGAAACCGAAACCCGAATCTTCCACCTGCAAACAAACTATGGCATTCGACATACAGCAGTACGAGACAAACTCAATGTACGCGACAAACTTCAAGGTTAGACTAGCTCTCGGCGAAGGGATGCATGTTGAAAAACCTGTCCAGCGAAACCTGACTCTATCGCTCTCCTGTTCCATTCACTCTCCCATTTTGATTTGTCTTGTTTCACGGCGACACGGCCAATGGGCGGGCGAAGGACAGGTACCTTGGATCTGCGCTGGCGATGCTGTTCGTGCCCTACATCGTGGAGGAATTCGGGCCCGGCATGCAGTTCCAAGTTTCCGGCTTCATGGCCCTGGTGTGGCTGACAACGTGGTGGAGAGTGGGGTCTGATCAGCCGCCGGAAAGCGGCGGCGGCGGCGCCAGCAGCAGCGGGTCGCACTCACCGGCCCGGGTCGAAGAAGGGAGCATGGAAGCAGTGCCGCCGTTTAACAAGAAGGAGGACCCGATGCCGCTTCTGCACTCCTACNGGGGGGGGGGGGGGGGGGGGGGGGGGGGGGGGGGGGGGGGGGGGGGGGGGGGGGGGGGGGGGGGGGGGGGGGGGGGGGGGGGGGGGGGGGGGGGGGAGGCAGAGATTCCAAACACGGGAGGGGCTGCGGCAAGGGGGACGGCGGCACGGGCGTTCCGTGGGGGATCTTGATCCGGAGCCCGGCGGTGTGGGCCATCGTGACGAACAACTTCGCCTTTCACTACGCCACGTACGTCCTGATGAACTGGCTGCCCACCTATTTTCAGGACCACATCGGCGTGGGGCTGTCGGATATGAGCAATTGGTACACGGTAAGCGTTCTCAAGCATTAAGAAATACTTGTGTTTCTTCCCATACATTTTTGTCAGTTTTGGCAAAAGATCGCGTCCAACAAACGGCTTGTATCCGCACCATGTCTGGGCCTGGGAGGCCAGTGTGGGCCTAAACGGTGTAGGTATGATTTTTTCTCCTGTCACTTGTTGCAATGTTAGTTGTTTTTGTACTGCCATCAGCTTGTTTTCTTTTTTCGGCGAACAACTCAGTCCGCGACGCTTGATCGCTGTCGCCCGGTGTGTGTTCATGGTACCGTGGATCGTACCGTGTCGCCGCGGCGCTTGCTCAAGGTAGTGTTAGGCAGACAGGAAGCCAGCCTCCACTGTAGCAGCTGCATGGTCGATCCTGCGAAAAATGGGGAATTTTGGCGTTACACCGTTGTCCATTTTGTTGAGACTCTCCTGGTTGTTGTGCGAGCTCGTCGAAGCAACGCGATGGCTATGGTGGCCTGTGTTTCTGTTCCGCGCACCATGCCATTGAAGTGATGACGAAAGGAATATCTCGGCCTACCCGCGGTCCCTGCTTTTATGCCCGTGGCTTACTTGGTAGCAACACGATCGCGCAAGTGCTTCACGCTCTCCTTTCTTTTATCGATAGTGTGCCTCGCAATTTGCGCTCTCACGAAACGTCGACAGGTGATGCCGTACGTGATGATGTTCCTAGCGTCGAACGCGGGGGGGTCCTTGGGCGCGTTTTTGCACGTCTCCCTCGGCAGGTCCATTATATTCTCCCGCAAGTTCGTCAATACCCTGGGCTTTTCCCTGGCCCCCCTGTCGCTCCTGCTCATGCCTCGGGCGACCCACTGGAGGGATGGTGTCTTGTACACCACCATGGCGTTATCGGCGCTTGGTTTGTCCCGCGGGGGTTGGGCTGTCAATCACATGGACATCGCACCGCGACATGCCGGGGTCGTGATGGCAATCGCGAACGGTGCCGGCACCCTAGCCGGGGTCGTGGGGGTGTCGTGGACGGGAAACATTTTGGAGTCAATGGGTGGGTCAACGGAAGCCGTGGCCTGGACGGTCGCTCTGGGGGTCGTCGCGTTTGTTTGCGTGAGCGCGCTCGTGACGTTTCTGTTCCTGGCGCGAGGAAACACGTTATTCCATTGATTGATGATGCTTGAGTGGGCTACAAGGGATGGGATGATGGCATATCATGTCCCACGTTGGTTGGCTGTCGAAGCCGCGTATTATTACAGTATGTTGTGCGTGTTGTAAAATATCTGGTGTGATGATTTCATGTCTGCCCCCGAGTGGCATTCAGCAGCCCTGTTGTTGACCGTCTCGTCTTGTATGGGCTAGTTGTGTTTTATTTCTTGGTCCGTTGGTGATAATTGTTCCGTCCGTGCGAGCGAGCGTACGTGCCTCAGTATGTTTGGCGTTGATGTGGCAGCTACTGGTACGCGACTTGCGTGTGTGCGTCCTTGTATGCGCTCTATCCGAACAAAAGAAAGTCGCTAACTTTGTATCAATGATTGAAGCGTGACAACGGATGAAAAAAACGGTTTCGGAACAACAACGGCAGCTCGCACTATAAAGTCTAATAGTTCAGCAGCAGACGAGTTTGTTTTTGTATTTTCCTTCGTAGTTTCTTCGTGAACTCGGCAATATCAAGCTCAGGTTGGGGTCAGTAGAACCCCTTTGCAATAGCCCCATAGACCGCTTGTGCTTTGCATCTGTATCGAGTTGTATGATAGCACGGCGTGCCCACGTACTCGCTAAGGTTGTCTTAACCTTTCTTTTGAGGAGGAATATTTTTACACAATCACGGTATTTGTGCGGGTCCCATCGCCACTTGCAGCTCCATGGAAGTGGGAGAAGGTTGACCAGGTTCGGGGCGTCTCAGTTGGTGAAGCATTCCGTGTTGTGTGTATGTGTGTTCATCACATCCATTCTGGCGCCGATTCACAGGCCTTTCGGCGTATATGCCTGACGCATCAGCCGGGGTGATCTAAGGTCACACAGGAGCTTTTTCAGTTTTTTTTTTCTTTTGCCCCACCTTTCTTTCCCTCTGCGGCGCTTGCCTTAGTTTTCATCGCGAGAAGGGTTCAGCCATCCCTTTCCCTCATCGATCGTGAAGCCGAAGTATGTGTACTCCCGACCTAGACCGCTTTCGACCACAGGTTTTCTGGAAATCAATCCCGGGGAAGAAAACATCCTGAGGGCGAATCGAACCCACAAACCTGCCGCTAGGCTCTCGACTCCCGAGTCAAGAGGTTGCCCATATAGCACCACTAGCTGTTGCGGCAGAAAATGAACCAGACGAGATGGCCGCGGCAAAAAAACTAATAATGCGTTCAGCATCAACCATTACGTTTGTGCTCCCTTCCAATCCACGGGTTAACAACTGATTTGCGGGAAAGGTCGTGACCCGTAAAGCATGGTCAGGTCATGGGTCACTCGGAACGACCCGCCAACATTTCGCCCCGGTGGTCTAGTGGGTAACCTCGCAGCCTGCTAAGGGCCAGGTCATGGTGTGACCCCGGTTGGTTCGTCTAGCTAGTACAAGTGGAGGATAGGAGCCAGAGCGGCAGACGACAGAGTCCAATGATGGGAGAAAAAAAAAAATCTGGCCCTGACTCGCGCGGTTGATGGCCTGCACGGTGAAACCCGTGATTCCTGCACAATCTCAGGCAAAAAAAATGTAACCAAATAATACTTGTTACAGAGAGGAATATTAAACAGCACAAAGTTACGGGACACGGTTCGTTCCATCAAACGCCAGAGACTCTCCTTGCGACGGTTGGATACGAATATCGGAACAGAGCAGGTGCAGCCACACAAAAAGACAACACCCGCTAGATCAGAAGCTATTGCCCGGGCTCCAAACCCGCGTCTATCCACAGCGCCGTGTTCGTGCATGCGCTCGCTATGACCTCGTACTTGGGGCTGCACAGCACCCTGCCCACCGCGGACGTGTGCCCCTTGAGAATCTTGGCCAGCTTGCCGTCTTCCGCGCGCCAGGCGTAGATACCGCTGTCTTCAGAGCCGGACAGGACGTACTCCGCGTTCGGGGTGAAGCACGCGTCCAGCTCCGAGTGCAGGTCGTTCTGGTGCCCGGTGAACACCTACATCATGCAGTCGTACGTATGTGGTAGCAAGCAGGTGCGCAGCCGGTCCGGAGAGGTGAAAGTATCGCGGGAAGGGCGGGGTGGGAACGGCGAAAAGAGCGCGCAATGCTGTGACTGTCACGGGAACATCCTGTTGCGGTGACGCAATTCCTGTTTTGCTGCCGTGTTTCGCGACACCGCCAGTATAAATTTGTGACATTTGCTAGATACTGCTGTAGCTTGATAAAACCTAGCATGACGTCATGTCGGTCATAAAAACAACTCGTGCGATACGTTGCGGCTGTCTCGTACCAAATAAACAGTACGCGCCCCCCATCAATGCCGTCAGGCGAGGATTGAGTGGCACAGAACCGGGGCCAGCCTCTCGCCTCATTCCCAAGTTACGATTCTACAGTATTATCTACTTGAGCGTGTTCGGCTATTTTTAAGGCTAACAGACGCGATGCTTTCAAGCTAGAATTTCTCTTAACAGAGAGAAAGCAAACATATCAATTAATGGTAGACCCGTGTTTATGGCCTTCATATCTTTCGCGAGAATGTTGCAATTTCAAGATTTGCGAAACGAGATTTTGTTGCACTTTTTAAGGGAGAAAATCTTCGGCAAAATAATCCCAAAGATTTTCAAACGGGGCAAAGTCGCTCGTTCGACAAAATGTTCGAGCAATATTTTGAAATGGGGCAGGTCGCGACAACCTTGTCCAAGAGCGGCGAGACTGACAGCCGACCGCCCCTTCTGCCCTCGACACCAACCACTGCGCAGCGCACACTCAACGTCGCAAGCTCATGGAGGGATCCAGACGACCCTAGAGTCACCGTGTCAACGTTTTGCTGACTGATATATGGCGGGAGCTCGTCAAGCGTGAAAACGGACAGGGGTGGTTTGGAAGGCACGGAGAAAACGTGGTTTGTGTCTCCGAACGGCAAAAAGTCGGCTGCTTGAGAGGAGACGTGAGTACAGAACTATCCAACTCTCGTCCTCAAGACCATCGATTCATGTTTTGTCTTCTTTGGCGTCTTCTCCGTTATCGGCTCTCATCCGGGTGTGCGTAGTTCAGCAGTGTACGTACTCAATAGGCAGGGAGGCGCGTCGCTGTGAACTCGATGTGTTGAATAAGTATTTTTTGCGACGGAGGAACAAGCCCTCTATACTCAAGTGAAAAAATAGACCGGAAAAAACGTTGTGTCCACAACTTTGTGCGCACAACGATGTGCCTCCCTGCCGACTGAGCATGGCCACTGCTAACCCATGCGCAATCGGATGAGAGTCGTTGATGGAGAAGACACCCAAAAAGACAAAACATGAATCGATCGTCTGACAGGCGAGATCTGGATATTATTGTGGTCACATCTCTCAAGCGGCCGACCTTTTGCCGTTGGGAAGCGCTGACGCACGTTTTTGTCTCTTGTGACACCGAAAACATTTTTTCTCGCACGCCCGGAGCGCTATCGCCACATTTTGGCGGGCACAGTATCCACTCAGTGCATCAAGGGTTGTCGGGAGCCCTTGGCGAGCTCGTTACATTCAGTTTCCATGACGCATTTGTGGTTTGTCACAAATCGTTTGGTCGCAGTAGACCACGATTCCTGCCGCACTTCTGGCGCATTCCAAGAAAACCACAAGATAAGATATTGTTGCGCAAAAAAAGCGATACACTCAAATGTTCCTCTGGCAGATATTCGCGCGCAAAAGTTTGACAACATTTGAAGATCAATTTCCAATAATTTGAGACCGTTAACATGGGTCTGATGTCGTCAAAAATTTCATGGCGAAATGTCCCGTTGGTTTATCCTCCCCACCGCCGAAACCGTCGACAGGCACGGTTTAGAAGCCGTGTGAACCAGGACCCAAAAATACCACCACGACTCTTTGCCAGCGGGTATGCACAACGGCAATCACCACCAGCACTCCTGGTAAAACCAACCTCACCTGCTTAACGTCGCCTTCGAATGCGTGCAGCGTCAGGACCAGGCTCGCGTCGGTGGCGATCAGGATGCTCTGCCCGTCCGCGCTGAACTTCATGCTCTTCCACCGAGCGAGCGAGAGCGCCCTGGCCTTCTTCGACCGCATCTCCTTCGACTTCACGATGAACTCCTCCACCTTGCGCCAAACGGTTGCAACAGAACGCCGGTTTGTATCATTATTGGCTACTCGTTTTTCGCTCGCTTCATTGTTGTTCCTCTGTCGTGGTTTTTTAATCATATTTGGTTCATCATCCTTGGTTAAGTACCGTGTCCAAGCTGTGTGTGCGTGTACACCATTGTATGATCACAGCCAAGAGGATGACCGCAAGCACGGAGGACGAGGGTGTGTGCGTTTACTCATGTCTTGCCCCAGATCTCCGCTTCGGGGTCGCGAAAAAAAACTGCGAGGCTGCGCGAAAACCTTTCTGCAGCGACGTTCGCGAAAAACCAAGTGCACGGGTTGCGACGAAGTGGTGCAGCAGCGGCGATAAAAACAACTAATAGGAGCAGCAACAACAGGTCAGCAGAGCAGTATTCGCGTGTGCCGTGCCACAGAAGTAAACGCATGGGGCACAGACCTGAGCGGTACAGCGCAGTGGAACACGCTGCCACACCCGCAACCATAGATTGAAGACATACGACAACACATAAAGCAGAGAAAACTATTAAGTAGCGCGGCCCCGGACTGTAGCTGCAGTTCTTGTCGTGTAGGGGAAGAACGTCAAGGATTGGTGGGCATACCACGGGCAGGAGGAAAAGGGACATTGGTGTAGAAACCACGGGCGATACGTTCACGAGTTGAACGGACAAGCGCGCGACGACTGTCGATACCCTACCGTACCGTATCGCTCCATGGCGCCGCCGTACTCAGCATCGTACCTTCTTATGCTCCACGGTGAACGTGTCGAACGGGCCCTTCTCGTACTGTCGTGTCCGCCAGCGGCAACGCCATGGTGAAAAAACAAAACGCGAGGAGAGGTACAGCAGTATCGCAAGGAGAAATCACGAAAGAACGAACAAGGTGAGAGTTGGTCATCTCGCGTATTATTGGACCACGATCTGTCAAAACACACACACTTGACTCTACGAACAGAACCAACATTTATCTTACACGGACGGAACAATAGTCGGGGCAGCTAGACGACCACAACATGACGGGTTGGCAGGCCCATCGTTTCCGACGACGAAATTCGACAGGCAACCACCGACAGCGACCACGGCGAAAGCGATCGTCCGACGTCTACAACGACAAATGTTACTCTTGCAGGAGAATCCGATGATGCGGGAAATCAAACCCCTCACAAAACGGTGGTCATGGCCACAATGAATCACGCCGCGGATCAGTCGATAAGGTCTCTGCTGGCGACAGCAACCAGACTCTCACATTTCGTGCATCGTACAGCTTGATGATGTTGGCCTTGCCGGTGGAGGTAGCTGCCGCGAAGACCAACCCCTGTTGGTCGTACGCCACGTACGGCGTTCCGTGGCCAGGCGGAAACTCTAGCACCGCCAGGCACTGTGGTCTCGACAGGTGCCACAAGCGTACGGTCCTGGCGTGGTCGGTGGATGAGATCGCCCCACAAAAATCGATCGTGCCGGCCGAGAAGAGACCCACGAAGAACGGAAAAGCGGGGCGGGGGCGTGGGGTTAGACGGTGGGGGGGGCGGGAAGCACGTCGTCTGAAGGAACACGTGCTAGACGCTCGCTGGAGCACAACAGCACAACGGTACACGCAACACGGTCCAAACATGTTGGTCGGGGAACGATTGGTCGGTCACACTACAGTGCCCAGAAAGCGTGCTGGTCGTGGCAAGCAGTTGGAAAATATCGTCTCCACACGACATTTCTCTTTGGTTGCAGTCTGTCCCCGATCTCTCTCTCTCTCTCTCTCTCACTTGTCCGCGGAGCCGGTCATGAAGTGGTCGTCGGTGGGACTCATGGCGATGGAGACGACCTTGTCAGTGTGCCCGGTGAAGAATCGGAGAAAGCGGTTGTCGTACAGCGACAAGTATCGCACGGCATGGTCCGCACCGTCCGCGTCCGAGCTCACCAGCACGGTCTATGCACGTGGTAGGGGGGGTGTCGGCCGGTTTACAAGGGCAAGAAGGAGGGCGGGATGAGGCAGCACGGCGCAATGGGGGATAGAGACGTCAGGGAAGAGGACTCTATCGTGTTTACCAAGGAGTGGCAATGACCAGGACGGTTTGTACCGACAGAATCCGACAATCAGTACGAAGCATGCACGTATTTGTTGAACAGAAGCAGTGGCATGCAGATACCTCGATGTACACCGACCCTGCGGGAAAGCAAAATGCATCCATCAAAAGAACATACAACACTAAAGTACGGCATGCAAAACGGCGGTCAAACTCTTCGCGCGTCGGTTGCCCGACCCTCTGCCCCGTGGCCTTATCTCAAAGGAGTGGAATTCGTGCGAGCGAAAGCAAACGTTCATGGGGGTTTGCGATACACCGCACTTCAAAGCTGAAGTCGCATCGGGGCATCAGCTTCAACGATTTGAAGAAAATTCGATCAAGCAAACAACACAACTTTTGACGACCCCCCGGGTCCCGGTCCCCCATACGGCCTGACAAACACCTTTACTGTTTAGCATACCCACACCACCATTACGATGACGATGATTGTGTCAAAGCGTAAAGTCAGACTTGATATTCGATGCTTCCGCGACACGACAACAACACCAACCACAAGACGACAGAATAACGCGGCGGCGGGCGGCCCCCGACCCTCACCTGATCGTGGTGAGTGTAACGGACCACCCCGCAGCCGTACTTTTGTGTGTGGATGGTTTTTCTCTTGCGACCCTCCACGGCGTTGATCAGAGTCACGCTCCTGCCAGACCGAGCGAGAAGACGCGAGCCAAGCACAGGAAAATTGCACGGTCACGTGGAGGTATTCGCGCAGATGCGGCGGACAGGCTTGAGCGTCCACATCTTGAGTCATCGAGGAGACCGTACTAGGGCTGGGAACACGGAAGCTGCTATCGCAATTCTTGTGGGTCATTTCCCAAGCTCGGCACACCCCTACAAGACTACAAAAGAAAAGGGGCTGGCAAGCCGAGGACAAGGCCGTGTGTGTAAGGCTCTTCAAAGATCAATCCAACGCCGCGAGAGGGAACCAAGCTTGAAAACCGGCTCTACGAATGTGTGATATGCACGTATGTAGTGCTACGCAACACGGATGGTGGCGATTATTGTTGTTGATTCACGTAATAAATCGTACTGGCTTCTATCCGGCTAACTATTAATAGCACCTCTTCTTCCATACCCTTCAAGGCGAAAGAGACAATTGATCTCGTGCGAGCATCCCTGTAACGCCGCCGACGTGAGTTTGCATACCCTGCTGTAGTAGTTTATTGATGGGGGTGGTTTTGCATAGCTATGTAAGGATTATCTCCTTGTTTTTCCACGCCCTGCCACACTCAACACAAGCATCCACCGTGGGTTGCTTCCACCATGGGAGACAGAGGCTACGTGCACCCACGTCATGCCTATCTATCTCGCCAGCAAAAATAGCAGCCCGCATGCATGGTGCACAGAGTTGTGTTTTTTGGGATGCGAAGGTGCCAGGGATCGAAAGCGCAGCTTTTTTACACTCACTTGTCGCTGTTCGCCGCCACGCAGAGCTCCCCGTCCTCATGGAAATCCATCGACGTCACGACGCTTTCGCCCGGAAACACCTGCCCCATGGCCATCGCCGGGACGTTGAAGACCCCCTGCACCTCATCGTCCCTGCCAGCTTCGCCCTCTTCGGGAGAGCCGCCATCGTGATCTTCCCACTCCATGAAATGATGGTCGTCTTTCGTCGTTCACTTCGCGATCGAGCCCTTCATACGAAAAAACTGGATACTTTCGGTTGGACAAAAACTCACCCGAGGCAAACACAAGTAGGCAGAAAGACGAGCCTAGTGGGGAACAAACCACCCAAGTGCTCAGAGCATAGGACAGCGAGCAGGAAGGCGGTGAGAATGTTGGTGTCGGTGGCTGAGGCAACGCCGATAGCGCTTTATTCCCAATATATATACCCATCGATACTAATTGAGCCATCTGTGGATCCCCTCATATTGCCGCCCCCCCCTCGCGCTCGGCCCTCCTTCGATCAGTCACAGGAACGCAGCACGGACTGCTATCGGGCGGCCTCCTCCTGCACCCCCACGGGCTGCAACCCCTCCAGCCCTGGGAAGAGGAGGTGTCTAGCCTGGGGAAATTCCCCGGATACTTGGGCAGAGAGTGCCATCCGGAACCCGGAACAACCCTCGAGCGCCCCCGGCAACATGCGGCGTAGATGAGTGGTGGTGGCAGGGGGGGTGTCGTCGCTCTCGGGTGGCGTGCGCTCCTCCTCTTTCGCCTCTCGGAGTCCTAGCCGGGTGCTCGGGCCGTTTTCATCACAGCATAGAAATGCAGTCAGCGTCGGCGCCTCCGCCGTGCCGGCGCCAACTCGACGGGGATTACCTGCCGCGTTTCCGTGGCTCACAAGACAAGAAAAGAAAATGCGCCCGCCCGCCCTCCTTGGTTACAAGTGCTGCTGTTCCTCTTGCACGTGTCTCTTGACGCGTGCACAGCATACGCCCCGCGTTGCTGCCGCCGCCACCTCGGCTTCCACCGTACGATGACCCTGTGTCTTGCTCTCCCTTGCTTGGGCGCGGAATGGTGAGGAATGAATGGTACGTGTGGCAGACGTGTGTGGTTGTTTGGCGTCTTGTTTTCTTTTGGAGTTTGTGAGTGAAGCGTACGGTCTGTGGTTGTTTCGAGTGCTGTTGGAGGCAGAGCGCGGATATTATTGTACCTTCATATTCTACCGCGCCTAGCGGTCGCTTGGTGCCGCCACCGCGTGGAGACGTATTGCTCATGCTTAGCTTGGTGGCACAAGGGTGCGTTATGATCTTGTAGGGTTGACCGAGGGTCGGAACACAGCAGAGTCATCTTTGCCCAGTTTTGAAATCGGCGAGAGTTCGTGACAAGTGGTAGGCCTCTCTTCGTGGCCACTCAAAAACATGTTTTTCAATTGCATCGCTTGGACTCTTTTGCCTCACAGCAGGCTATAATTGAGAGCAACGGCTCAGCTAGGTTGGTTGTACAGCTCTTCCCTTCTCTCTGATGCTTGTCACGCTCGCTTGCTAAAACCAGGGTCGCGCAAGTAGCTATTGCATGTACCTCGTTCCCCCGTACTGGTGCTTTTGCTGTTGCCCGCCCGCCTGCCTTGTTCTCGTTGCCTGTTCGTGCTTGCGTGCTGCCGTTCGAGGCAGCCGATACAAGGTTGGAGCTGGCTAACACCTCTCCTCAAGACTGCGCACTCTCATGTACGTGTTCTGGTACCCTGGGGGGCACGGGTGAACGTCTTGCTGCCCCTTCCGCTACTGGTCGTATTCGTGGTACTTCCTGCATGGGTGTCTACTTCGAATGTAAGTTGTGCGACGCTGCTGTAAACCAATCCGGCTCCATATGTCCGGCTCTCCCCCGCACACTTACTTGCCTGTTGCCGTGGCGAGGGCTGAATGAGTTGAGAGTCGGAGACCCGGTCAACAAGAAGCCCTCTGTTTTCCACCCAAGCGCAAGCTCGATTCCTCTCTTGATGCAATGGCAGGGATTCTTGAGAAACAAGCCCTCACATTTGTGTAGCTGGCACAAGTTTTTTCTCGCATCTTGTGGACCCAGCCAAGTATTTTTTTCGTTGGAATGGGGACGCCGGATTGAGTACGGCCTGGACGCGGTTGCATGTTGTGGTGCTCTCGTCTGCCGCAGTTGTCGAATTGGTCATGGAAACGACGACATTCCGCGGTGTACTTAGCGGGTCGTTCAAAAACTTTCGTGTGCTCGGTGAAAACTCAAAAGCTCTTACTACCCCTGGGATCGACTTTTTGGGAGGACGCGGGACAGACACCAGTCGAGCGTATTTTAACGAAGTATCAATGCAGAAGGAATAACATGTGTTTATCCCTCATGTTCTCTCGCTCGCGTCCACGGATCATGAACCACATACAGCAGCCAGCGGGGAGCGAACTTTATTGGTGTTGTCGTTTTGTCTTCACTTCAAAAATCGTTGTCCTCCGCCCAGTACCTCGCAATGTCCGTACTTGTCCAACTGACGCGTGCGCATCAGAAACCTGAAACAAAAGAGAGAGCGGGTGATGTTACAGAATACTTAGGACACCTTCGGAGTGCCACAGGCACCGTGAGAAAATCCTCTACCTCTGACGCTCTCTGTTTTTTTCACGTTTCGCGAACGCCGCATGATTCCAATATAGTTGAGTGACGGTCTCGCTAGCGCTTGGAGGGGGGTGTCGCCTCCATGAGTGTACTTTCCTCGCATTTCTTGGGCTTCTCTCTGCACCTACCTAGTGTATCCGACGGCACGATGGATTTGCCCTTCCATCAAGTTTGATTCAAGGTCTACATGCTATCGTCCACCTTTTCTCCGCGCATAGAGTGGCCAATGTTGTCCCCGATTTTGTCGCGCCATCTATCAACAGGTGCTCTCCCTACCTTTTGCGGCCTCCCCTGCTTCTCCCGACCGCGGCTGACCGCTGACAAGAGCATGTCATCAATTATGAAGGATGGGCAAGAAGGGCGCTCAATTTCTCATGATGCAGTAGCTTGAGCACGGCCCCGGTGTGGTCATCGCCTTGGTTTCTTGCGGTCCCGGACGTTTTTGCATTTTGTATTTCGATAGCACAGCCACTGCTGTCGAGTTGCTTCTGGGGCATGATGCGGGAAACTGCCTCCATTCTCCCCCCGCATCCGTTGGACGCTGACGTCATGCGGGCGGGTCATCTGCTCGGGTTGCCATTGACTTGTACCTGGTTGTCGAAGGATTATTGCTGATGTTGGCCGTTCTTGGACCGTGTCGCGGACGCCGCCAACGTTGAAGGTGTGGGATCTATACGAATGTGTGCACTTTGGCATAATTCGCAGCAAACCTGTTTTGTGCGGTGGAAAGAAACAGTGACAATTTGGTACGGTGCCTGCAAATTCTGACGGACTCTTTTTTTAGCCTGCTACGACCGCTTGAAATTCGGGGAGTCCCCTTAATCTCGTCTGGATGCTTAAGACTTATGGGATGGTCAATTTTCCAGCCTTGTGTGGTGTATTTGTTTTCGGCGTTTTGGAAAGGTCACTCTCTTGCACCAAGTATGCAACAGTAGGTGTCGATGCTTGTTTTTCTGACAACCGTTGGATTGGCGGGGAGTTGATTTTTGTTTGCGTGATGCGGTTTGGGCAGTGGCCTGCAGTTGTCTTGTCTTCATGGATGTAGTGTGAAGAGCTATTCGTGTGTGGTTGTTTGACGTGCCTGGCTCGTGCCTGAAACGCTTCAAATAGCTCCACTTTGCTTCATCCCATCGAAAAAGTAAGTCGCAGGTGGGGTGTTGTCAGTTTTGGGAGTACTCACGTTGTTACTGGGCGCAAAGCCGCAGGCAGCGTTTCACGTGGCGACGTTTTTTTGCGTGGCTGCTGTCAGGTAAGATGCACACGTGTTGCTGAGGAAGGTAATGAATTTGAACAGACCCTTTCTGTGCATTTTTCTAAAATTGAAACAAAACCTACGACGGCGTTTCGCGCCTTTTCCTCTGTTGTTGCGGATGGAAGACTAGCAAGTGACACGTGGTACAAAGATGAGGGAGAAGTTTGCCTCCTTGGAACGTTTACACGTGGTAGAACGCGATGCCATGTATGTTGCATGGAAACCGGTAGAATTTCTACCCCTCGTTCATCTGTCACACTAGATTCCACCAGGGGGTTGACTCGGCTGACAAATCGCCTCATGCCGCAATAGTTTTGGTGGTGGTTCTTGTTCACCGATGCAGGCAAAGAGTGCGCATATGAAACGCTTTCAAAGCTCCATTTATAGCTTGATGGCACCACCTACCACCGTAAGAACATCAGCCTGCCGATTAAGAATTTACTGTTGATACTTAAGATGTGTTGACGCCTTGATTTTTGATCCCACTCCTTCCGTATCAAAACATTACGGTCGCTCTCATCCCGCCCGATAACAGCAGTGATGTGCGAGAGAGAATGTCCTTCTGTTGTACCCAACAAAACAAGCGACAGCTTCCCTCTGCTCATCGATCAGTGTTCATATCATGGTGGGTCGTGGACACCATTTACCGCATCTGTTGGCAGGAGGAAGAGGACGCACCCCGCCCACCACCCAATATTTAGGCCTCTCCCTCCTATTAAGAGCATCATCACCATCACCCCACCCGGTTTGAGAGGGAAGGAAGGAGACAGGGACAGCCGACAACATCGATTGATTGATGTATCGGGTTGAAATTAGTCTGTTGATGAATAACAAGAAGAGTAAATAAACGAGACCAACCACAACTTGTTCGCTGTGTCCTTTTCCACATAATAAAAATACGAATGAATGCATCGTGTAGAGACCCGACATAAAGAAAAGCACAAAACGAACCATATTCGTTTATCATCCCTCCCTCTTGGGCATACAACACAAATTATTACATACAGTCTACATCGGAAGTTTTTTATTTCATGGAGGAAACGGGCAGCTTCCACCACTGACTATGAAAGAAGTCTCAGGCATAGTTCAACCCAATCCAGGACGACACGACACGCTTAAAAAACTCCGCTTGCAAATAACATACCACCCCGCCACCCCCCCCCGCGCGCGCCCCCGCCTCCGCCGCCGAGACAATTATCAATGATAATTGCTGTGCTAGCATACGTGTGAGAACCCCCATTAACCGACCCTCCCTGATGACAGGGACGATAATGACTGCATGCTAGCTATATTTAGTGAGTCTATATTTAGTGAGTCTCGTCGAGGCTAGACGAAAAAAATCGAGAAAATTGACGGCGTACAGCGGCAATCACCACTCGGCGCACTCTTGTTCTGTGCGGCGATACAGTCAGTCTGCCTGCGCAGCGCGACCGACCGTACGTGCTTGGACTATTTCACTAGGGATAGCATAGCGTGCTTAATCCGTTATTATCTCAAAATCATGTTGGTTCGCCGTGCTGCGTACAAGCCAGCCGCGCATGCTTGCGTATTTTGTTCACCCGGTCCCGCCCCCAGCCCTTGCCCCCCTACTATCTTTAAGCGCACTGGATATATATGACAGCGAGCCCCCAGATTACCTCAGAGTGCGGTAAAGATACAAATATTATGCGAGATGACGGCGGGGACACTACTCATAGTCGCATCCCCCCCACCCACCTTTGGTCCCTCCCATCGCGACATAAAACCGTCTGCGTTATTACCCTGTACGTACCCGGTACTCCTATGTTTACTTTCGATGGATTGACTCAGCAACAACCAACAACCTCGACTAAACATCAAGCGCCAAACAATGTATCTATAGTTTACTCGCCGGCGCAGCAACATATCAAATGATGACCATTTCTTCAGAATTTCACTCAGACCACGTAAGTATAGTATGGATGGATGCTCTTCCCGCCTGTCTGTCTCTCGGTTAGTCGATAGACAGACAAACGACCAAACGACGATTATCGTAGTATCATACTATTCCTTGTGGGAGCAAACCGCACGCAAATACATTTAGTACATGGCACATCGCACCCCCCTTCTACAGATTTATTAGGGTACACGTGTCTCAGAGTAGTACTCAAACGAAGGTCAAGCGCATGGATGGATGGGTGATTTGTTTCACCTCCTTGATGGGCACGAACGATAGAACGCTTGCGCACAACAAAACTGGTTAATGGGAGGTCCATATTACATACTACATACATATATATGCATACAGCCTGCTAAGGGCCAGGTCATGGGTTCGAGTCCCGGCAGAGTGAGTTTTTTTCTCACTGAATAAATCCTGGTCTAGGATGAAAGCGACGGGCTGCAAAACTCGTTGCTAGTAAACCATAATCGACTTCTTAAGTCGCGAGGGAAGGGATTGCTGCACCCTTGTCGCGATAAAAATACCTCAGGCAGGAACCGCAGGAGGGGGTCCAGCCCCCCCCTCCTACGTGACCCCGGTTGGGTCGTCGAGCTAGTAGAAGTGGAGGATAGGGACCAGAGGGGCAGACGACAGAGTCCAATGATGGGAGAAAAAAAACAAATGTCTACTATACATGGACACACGTTTGCAAATACTTTCTCTCGGAGGTGTCTGCCGCGAAGCCTCCCGCACAGATTATCTCGCTGGTCCTATTCACCCAAGCCGCGATCCAAGCGATTGCCTTGAGAAACCCCCGATGGATGAAGAACAGAGACCATTCGTAATCTGGATGGAGTGGGGTGCGCGCGGTTAACGAAATAATGGGAAAGCAACAAGAAGCAGGCGCATAGTAGTAGATAAGCAAGCGACACGAGAGCACGTTCCGTCGAACCTTCTGCACCTTCCCGGGGTCGCCCATCGTCAAGCGCTGGGTCTTGCCTCTCTCTCTGGTTCATTTCAACGGCGATGCCGCTCGCGGCCACGAAATCGCGCGCTCGCGGGTACGCACGCACACACACACAAGTTTTCCCCCTGTAGGTAGAACCCTTACCCTTTGATTGGAGAGTGTTCTTAATGTACATCCCGCACTTACACGGTCGTCTTTTCATTGGTCAGTTGGCGCGGTTATTTCGAATTGAGAAAACACACACACACATACCCACCTGTTCGCAGCCGTAGGTAGTTTGCAGCCGTGCCCGCCTACGACTCGGCGATCGAAGCACCACCACCGCCAGCAAGAGTGGCAAGTGGAGAAAGGGGAGCAGGAGGGGCAGGAGGAGAGGAGCTAGGGTCCAGGGGCGGGCTCTGGGGCGCCTGGTGCAGCAGGTAGCTCATGAATCCCGTGCGGCGAGGTTCGGTGTCTTGCGACGTGCTGCTTGCAAGAGCAGGAGCAGCAGCGGCAGGAGCAGCAGCAGCGGCAGGAGCAGCAGCAGCGGCAGGAGCAGCAGCAGCAGCAGCCACCGCCGCCGCCGCCGCCGTCGACCCCGTTGACACGCCCCCGATCTTCTTGTCGTCCGGCGGCCTCGATGCATCGTCGCCGGTGCTTCGAGGGGCGCCGGTGCCGGTGGCCTCGCGGCTATCGTCCACCTTGGAGAACGCGTGGAAACCGCGGCTACCCGGCCCATGCTGCGGCGGGGAGAAGCAAATGTCGATGGGACACCCATAGAGCTGCTGCTGCGGCGGAGGCGGCGGCGGACCCGGGAACCGTCCACCGGCGGCCCAGTTGAGGTGGTGGAAATTGGGGTGGTGGTGGTGGTGCAGGAGCGGGTGGTGCAGCAGGTAAGGGTGGTGGCCGTGGTGAGGAAGCGCCGGCTGCGGCGGTGGTGGCGGTCGGGGCCGAGACGCCTGGGGCGGCCCGCGAGGCGGAGACTCCAGGCTCAATTTCAGGTCGAAGCTGTCCAGGGTGGCGGTGGTCGTGGGGGAGTCAGAGCCAGCGTCCGAGAGATGTTGCTGTGAAGGGCTCGATCGCAAGCTCAAGGCGCCCCCACGCCATTCTCCATAGCTCCCCTTTGCCCTCTTGCCACCGCCGCCGATCCACGCTGGCGCCCGCGCAGCCTGGCGCACTTGTGATGAGGCACATTCCCCAGCTGTCACCAGAGCAGAAACGGGTGTCTGTCCGGAAGATCCCCCAACGCTCCTCACTTTCGTGAACGCCATTGGGTCACCGCCTCTGCTCGACGCCCTCGAAGAAGCTGTGTGGCGCAGGCCAACCCCGAACACACCGGAGTAACTTATCATCGGTGCCCTGATGTGCGGCGGCCTGCCGATCGAAAAGACCGGGGAGGTGGAATCCGCCGGCGAGCAGGCCGCCGTCGGGTTAGCGCTGCTGCCACCGGAAGGACTGCTCAGAGAAGAGCCATCGGATAGCAGCGAGACAGGTGAAGCTGCCGCTGCCACTTCCGCTGCTGCTGCTGCTGTCGCCGCCGTGCACTTCTTTTGAGGGAATGACGCGCGGCGGCCGGCGGATGACATGGACCGTGCCGCCGCTGCCGTCACCCCTTTCCGGCCCTTGGCCGTCATCGACGCGTCCCCCTTAAATCTCTTCGCTGGCTCCGCAGGGCTCCCGGCTTTCATGCATAGCTTCCTGCCGCTCCCCAGGCTCCCCGACGTCGGTTTGTTGCCTGCCGTCTTGTTGCCCGGCTCAACGCCCGGTCTTGGCGTGGCGGCGCTCTTCGAGCGGCCGCCGGGCTCGAAAGCCGGCGGAGGTGAGGCCACCGACTTGGCGACGGCCGGCGGCTTGGAGGAGAACGCAGGGGTCCCTGCGAACACTGCGCGAATGCGGGATGTTTTCTTTGCTGTGGCAGGCGGCGGCGGCAGCGGCGACTTGGCACGTGGGCCGTAGCTGTCGTCGTCGTCGTCGTCGTCGTCGTCGTCGTCGTCGTCGTCGTCGTCGTCGTCGTCGCTGTTGCTGTCGCTGTTATCGCCAGCGGCCGAATCTGACTCAGCTCCAGAGCCCTTGTGGTCGGCGTGTTGCCTGAACTGTATTTTCTCGACCGCTTTGGCCACATCGGTGCTCAAGAGGAGCATGTCCTCGTCGATGTCGCCCGGACGGCAGGTGAAGATGGAATTGAGGACGCTGACATCGAGGCCGGCGCTGGCGGTCTTGATGATAACCTTGCGCCGCTTTCTAGCCTGCGTGAGCTTCCTCACCAGCGACGGCGCGTCCTTCCCGCCATCCCTGCGTGCCTTGATCTTGTCCTCCAGCTTTGACGTCGTCTTGTCCAGGCTGCTCACCTGGCGGTGTGGCCAGCGCTTGACACCGTACGCCCGGCACAGCTTCTTGAGCATGGTAAGGCTCACGTTCAGCTGCTGTGCTGCGACGTTGAGAGGAACGTGGTAAAAGCATTCCAAGACTTCCAGGGGCAGCCTTGCCGCTACGTCCTCGGATGTCTGCCTCTTGAGAGAGCTGCCACGGCGGAGGAAGGCGCTCGACGCACTGGCCGTGCGTACCCCGGAGCTTCCGCTGCTAGCCTTTGCCGCACGGGTCGCGGTGGTGGCAGCGGCCCCGCGCCTCCTGCCCCTTCCCTTCTTCACCTTACCCTCTCTCAGCGTACATGAAGGGGGCTCATACTCGCTCTGGCTGCTGTACGCGTACTCGTCGCTCTCGGACTTCGTCTCTTGCTTCGACCGCTTCTGCTTCTGCTGTTGCGCTCCTCTCTTGTACCTCGTACGCCGCTCGGTGGCCTTAGCCTCCAAACCTCTCCCCTCCTCTTGCGTGCGCTGAGAGTAGGTGGTACCTTGCAGGACTCCGGCGGAAGCACCACGGGAGCGGCTACACTCCGACTTGACCACCACTGAGCGAGTCGGGTTTCGGATCGGGGAAGCACCGGCTCTCCCGGCAACCCCCAAGTGTCCCTCTTCGCCGGTGCCGCCGCTGCCGCCGACGCTAGCACCACCATCGCGGGCATCGGTCATGCATCCGAGTGCACGCTCGTCACCGGCCGGATCGTCTAAGGAGTGTTCGGCCGCTTCCAGCTGGCGATTCAGGTATTCTTCCATCGCGGCGGAGAAGGTCGGTAGCCCTTCTTCCAGGCCAAACACGTTCCCTTCCAAGAAATCACGGTTGCTGTCTCTCCCGCCCATGCTTCCAGACCTCAGGACGTCGCGGGCGCTACTCGCCCTGCGTAGGATGTTGCTGGCACTCCCTGTCCCGTCGACGATCGCTGGCACCACCATTTCTTCCTTGGCAACGGCCAGCTGAACGAGATCACTGCGAGGACCGCCGTGAGAACCGTCACCTTCGATGGAATATCGATCGGGTCCTCCCCCATCACTAGAGGAGCGTGTGTCGGTTGGCTTCGTGTCTAGCCCGGGGCCCAACGTTTCTCTCGGCGCCGTTTCTGGCAGATTCCCGGGTCCAATGCCCTCCATGGTGAAGAAATTCAGGTCGTTTAACGTGGCATCATCGAGCCTTTGAACGGCATCCTCGCCCTCACCGTCGACGCTTGCAGGACCGAAGCCGAAGAAGTTGCCGCCCGTGCCGGATCCCCAGCTGGAGTTGTGCGACATGCGGAAGACGTCGCTGGCGAGAGTAAACGAAGAAACGCTTCGTGGGCCTGGAGCCGGTGTGCCCCCCAAGGTGGTCGTGGGCGTCGCCCCCCCCCCTTCATTGCTACCGGCTCCGTCACGGCTGCCATCACTAGGAACTCTATTACGAAACCTCTTAGACCTCGCGAGCTCGTCGTCCGAAAGCTTGAAGCTAGGGATTCCGCGCTGCAGCCGGGAACTGCTTGCCGACGAAGGAGCTTGACTCCTCGAGTCTTCAAGACCACTGCTAGGCTGTGCCATCTTGGCACGAGCCCGTTGGGGTGCTAGGGGAGGGGGGGTGTTAGACGCGCTGCTTGCTGTGGTGTCCTCGCACAGGGGTGGAGAGGAGAGAAAGAGAGAGAGAGGTGCGGAGAGCACGGCAGTGCGTCGACGCGGGAATAAAAAAAAGGTGAACCGGCACGTGAACAAGTTTTACGGTTTCGTTGCGGCAAGAATCTGATTGGCCAGAGCGGAACAACTTGGTTGGGCGGAATGTGTGTTGTCATTTTCAAATTACGCTGCATCGCACCACATCATCACACCCCCAAATCAAAAGATGAGCGGTGGCACGGGCCGACGTTGCTTGTTGGTCTTTCGCGCCCGATCTTGAAATCCTCCACCTGCACGAAAACGAAAAATCTGCTGCTGTTGCTTTCGCGTCCAGAAGGATGGAATGGCCCAGGTTCCGTTTCGACGATTTTCTCTTTGCACCAGGACAAGGGACCAAGTTTACTCCTGTAGAGACGCAACTGCTATCTCCGCCCATAGGGCATGAGGACCAGCCACGGGGTGGTGGAAAATCGCAGGGTTGGGTGGTCGCGGAGCAGTTGGCAAAGCGAAGTAGGCTTGCTTAGAGACAATGAAATGAACTATCCGATGAACCAGACAACTCTTTTTCAGTCTGTTCCCTTTTCAGTCCAAGGATCAGTTGACGATCAGTGCAGGTGGGCTTGACCCCGACCTCCGCATTGTATGCACAGACTACTACGTAGGTGATTTTGTGCTGCCTGGAGGACAACATTGTGTGCGTGGTGACACACGTTGGCAGATTCACAGCATCCCTGGCATCGTGGACAAATCGAAGAGACGCAAAAATGCGTGAGGACAAAACAAGTTATAGCAGCAACTATGCGATCCTGATGCATGGTAGATGACGAGACACGTTGCAACGTTTTATACGGTACACACTGGTGTAGACTGTTGGCCCTGCCCTCCAGCTTCGAAAAAAGATATCTGGTTGTAAAGCGCATATGATGACAAGGCTAAAAATGATTGGGAACAAACACATTCAACGGGCTTCAGAAAACGGGCTTCTTCAGAAAAGACACCTTTAGTCTCGACCCGAAAAAACTGTTTTTCTCGGCCATGAGCACACAATGTCTCGAGTGTCTGCATGCAGCTATCGGAGCATTCTCGATTTCCCCGCCGGAATGGTGCTTCCTGGACTTTTTACAAGTCAAATAGTTTGTGCAGCCCTCTTCTCTTCCCTCCTGCAGTCTCTATTGCTACATCTACGCTCAATCTGTTGACTGGCGGGGCAGTGACAGCAGTGGCTGGCATTACGGAATTCTCGCACCTTGCTCATCAGATGCCATAAAACGACGCCTCATTCCCCATTCGTACTATGCGCGCACTGTGTACGAGTACGAATCACGACAACCCCCACGTTTACCGTGTTCTCGTGACCCCTCCCCCCCTCCCCTCTCTCTCACTCCCACTCTCTCATACACACTCCCACACACACCTCTCTCTCACGCACTCTCTCCCTCCCTCCCACGCACAATTTGTCTCCCTCTCTCTCCCGCACCTTCTCGCGCCGAAACAGACATTTACAGCCAAAACATCCCACCGCCAATCGCAACCGAGACCGCCGCCAACACCAGCGATGAAACATGGATAGACAAAATACGATATCATGGGGGGGGGGAGGGGGGGGCGGACGTCAAAACTCGCCGTCGTTGAGTGAGCCCTCCCTATTAAATATTGCCGCATCTGCCGCTTGTGTCAAGCTTTAGCGTTGCCTGCTGAACTGCCTTTTTCGACACCCCATGTGGGCGCGGACACCCCCTTGCTGTTGAAGCTCTTCATGGACAGAAAGCCCACCCTGGCGAAGCCGCCCTTGGCACTCAGCGCGTGGGTTTCCCAAAAAGCGGGGGCGGTCCCCGGTTTGACACCGTGCACCTCGTGGAAGAGCTCGTACCTGGTCTCGGAAACGACGGGGAGAGAGGTCGGGGTGCGGAAGGGGGGGTGGGGCACTCATGTAAACTCATGGCATAGTCATAAGACCATAGACCTCGCATCCCTACAACGCCGGAACGGAGCGATACGCCGGGTTTTCGCCGGCCCAAGCCACCCTCCACAAGGATGAATTAGGTTGTGATCATGATGGCATTTGGTGGGGTGGGGTTCGGGGGGGGGATCAACAAGGTAGCCATTTCTTCATACCCACGGGGCATCCGAAGCCTGTTGAGGGATGCTAACGTAAAAGCAAGCCGAAGCAACGTTCCCCTGTCCCCGTGCGGCAGAATGAACACAAGCAAGGTGCGTACCTCTACCGCGTGTGCTCCACAAACAGCGATGAAACTAACCGCATGATGAGGTGCGGTTGTGTTTTACTTGGACGGGAGGTACTTCCGCCAAATCCTGCACCATGAGTGTCCCTTGAGGGAATACCTAGATGTGCCCTCGGTAGGAAAAGTGTGCGTTCGGTCCTCGACAAGGGTTTTGGTGGGCTATGCATTTCTTCCATGCGCAGCAGCAGCCCCTTAGAAAACAAACCGAAATACTCCGCACCCTCGACACATCCAACATCTCTACCAAATTACCACGTTGCAACCCTGCCAACGCGTTCTACTTACTGCTATTCCTCGTGTTTGTTGGCTCCAAATAAAACGAACACTCTGAACCCTGTCCACCCACGGGGACACCTCGTCAAGATGTAGAGAAAACAATCTCCGTCGGCGTTGTACAGCACCCTCGCGCAAACTACTTTCGAACAACCACACGCCTTCCGCGTAGAAACACTCTTCAAGACTACTCCCGGTACACATGTATACCCGTCGCCACCCACCCACCCGTTGAAAAGGAGTCCTTCTCCGGAGGCTAGCTCCAGCCTGATGTCCGGGCGGCCCTTAGACATTCCCAGGTCGAACGGGATCGTGTTGCCGATGGAGACGATCAGCGTCCACTCTTGTCGTTTCATCGCCCCAGTTGGTGGTGTTTGTTCGTGTGTTCGATTTTTGTCGCACGCACACGGCGGGGAGAAACAGGCAAATGGTCAAGACCAGCAGAGGCGGGGTGTTTATGAGCATCGACCGCGCTAACCGGCTGACCAATGAAAGGATGTCAGTCTAAGTGCGGTTGAAAACACAAAACACTTCAAAATGCCACTACATGGGATCCCGTGTGTGCGTGTGTGTGAGAAGAAAAGAACTCGATTGTTAGCGATCGTTCTGCAGGAACACACGTGGTCGCAGAGATGGAAGCTAACGACTGCCATGGTTCTACTGCACGTGGTTCTGAGAAAAAAAAACGAAGCAACACAAAATCAATAAAAAATTTCGACAGTTTGTGGTTTCGTCCCATCTGTTCTAGGCGCCGGCCTAAACCTTTTGGCGCATGTTTTGCGCCCCAGTAAGAGGTTTCATGCAGGAGCAAATCATGATAAGCATTAGACCTTTCTTGGCGTATCTCTACCTTTCCTCCTGCTTGCCTCCATTTTTGTAAACTTGCTTTCCAAAAACCGAAAAGGGTACATATACCGAGCAGCGGGTTTGCCAGGACAAGTCGGCACTGCTTGCCGGGACAAGCAAAGCAAGTCGTCACCGTACCGACGTGCCGCTGAAGCGTTACAACCTTTCCAATGCCTCAAAACATTGCTCGGACACGCCCTCAGGATTGTCTATATATATATTTCTTGATGTGGCATAACGAATCCACTTCGAACTATAGAAAAGAGTCCAACATAGATTAGTAATTACTCCATAGCGTTAGCGAAGGCTACCTGTATTTCCACGATTTCCCGAGCAACACACAGCGACATCTCCCCCGTGTTTTTTATTTCATCCGAAATCAGTTTGTAAAGAACGGCTTCCGCCCGCCCGCCGTCCTCACCTTTCCAAGTATCCCTGTGTTCCTGCATCTTGGCCTGAGCACCGTAGCACACCGCGTTGAACTCTCTGTTCGCCCTTGTCGGTACCTAACAATAAGTCAAGCCAGGAAGTACCACCCACCATTCGACAACAACAACGAGAGTCAGTCCACACGGAAGCGCTTGGTATGCTGGAAGAACAAATATCTGATGTCGGCGAGTAACTGCATGTGCAGCCTGGTGGTCCTGGAGTGTTGGTGTTCCAGGGCCTGATGCTTGGTTTGCTTGGGGGGGGGTGTTGAGTGTGGCACTCTGGGAGCGAACGGCATGCGTGATAAGAAGTATCTCCCTCAAGAACACCGTGCGTGAGGACAGGCGAAAGATATCCCCTCGGCAATAACATGGTACATCGATCAGACCCTACATCCCTTCCTCTCTTGCATGGCTGCCCTACAGGTGGACCATGGAAAGCCTCACTGTGTCCCTGATTTTTCACCTCCTTTTCACGTACAACTCCAGCCACAGGCTCATGCTACTTCTGCTAGAAAACACTCAGCCTCCCTTCGTATAGACGAAAGCAAGACTGCTTGCTTTTAGCCTGCACCACCAAGTAAATATATATATATATATACATGACGGGCGACAACTTCAGCCAAAGCTCAAGCTAGACAACCGCTGTATACACAAACACTGCTGTTTACTAGCCAGCAACACTAAGACAAAAAAAAGAAGCGGAAGGACAATGAGCGTGCATGCTGATGTTTCTTCGTCCTCGAGCAGGGAAGAAACACAAACACACGCCAAATCTTGCAAAAACAAGAAAAGAAAGAAAGAAAGAAAGAAAGAAAGAACGAATTGATCGACTCACGGGAGGATCACGGCCTCCAACCTCTCCCGAGAACCGGTCCGAAGAAAGGGCGGAAAGCATGCTGTCCCCCACCGCCGCCAGCCCCGCTCTGTCTCGGAGGAGGGGGAAGTGTTCCCGATCTACGTCTAAGCCGGGACCCTCGTCATCGTCCTCTGCAAATATCTGGCTCGCGAGAGAATCGGCAATGACCTTAAAGGGGGGGAGACGGGGAATGTTCAATGGGAAGCGGGGGGGGG